CAAATCCATTCTATTCTAGAAACAGATTCTTCATGGGTCATGCTGTGTCATTGTCTTTACCTAATAATGCAGGACTCCAGACTCCCACAGAGCTCCTTTCCTGCCACACACCAGTCCATAGGTTTCTGGAAGTTTGTAAGGCTAAGAGTCTTGCCAAAAGAACTACAGCAATAACAAGAACATGGACTCTGCATTTTTTTTCAGATTGTATTTTATTTTTTAATTATGTATATCTGTGGGTTTGGGGTGGGTGCACATGAATGCATGTGCTACTGAGGCCAGAAGAGGGCGCCAGATGCCCCGGAGCTGGAGTCACTGGTGGTTGTGAGCCAGCTAACGCAGGTGTTGGGAATCCACCACTGGTCCTCTGCAAGATCTGTACTGGCAGATGGCATGGAGCCATTTCTTCAGCTCTTGCACCTTTTGTAGAAATTGTTATAAGATTATTTAGACTGTGCTGCTTGTTCACAGTGCATGTGTAGGGGTGAGAGAACAATTTTCAGGAGTTGGTTCTCTCCTTCTACCATGTGGGTTGCATGGATCAGTCTCAGACCCTCATTCTCTTTTTTATTAAAACTTTTAATTGACATCATGATACATTTGTGTATAGAACACTGAGTGCTAATTTAATATGCATTGTGTATTGGTCACACTGGGGTCTTTAGCACTGTTGTCCCCTTAAATGTTTATTACTTCTTTGTATTGAGACTCATCAGCACCTCTCCTGGTTCTTTTTAAAATATGTAATAAATTGCTGTGACATGCAGCCACCTGACTGTCTCATGGGTAGTTAGATCTTACTACTCCTATGTAATTGGACCTGTTATACAGCTCTGTTTGATGTGAGATGTCCTTCTGTTTATGTGATGCCTTTATTGGTTAATGAATAAAGCTTTCTTTGCCAATGGCTTAGCAGAGTAAAACCAGGCAGGAAATCAGAACAGAGATAGAGATAGAGTGTAGGCAGAGTCAGAGAGATGCCATGTAGCTGCCTAAGAAGCAAGAAGTAACAAACCACAAGACTCATGGTAAAATATAAAATAATAGAAACTCAGTTAATTTAAGATGTAAGAGCTAGTAAATAAGAAGCCTGAACTAATAGTTTCTGGTTGAATATTCGGGTCTGGGCAGCCAGGAAACGAAAGAGCAGCCTCCGACTACAATGTCTACTCCCCCAACCCTCTCAACCTCTAGTCACCTCTGTTCTCTCTGCATCTATGAGATGGATTTTCGTTTCCACGTGAGTGGGAACCTGCAGTTGTCCTTCTGTGTCCGGCTTGTGTCAGTCAGTGTCACACCCTCCAGTCTGGTGGGCGTTGCTACAGAGGGTAGGCTTTCATCTTTAGGATTGAATAATGCTCAAGTTTGTGCAAATGCTTGATTTTCTTTATTCATCTATTAATTAAAGTCTCATTTGATTGCAAATCATGACTATAATGGATAGCGCTGTAATAAGCATGGGCACACAGGCATCTTTTGATTCACTGATTGTATCCCTTTAGAACAACACTGTGGAACTTCTGCGCCACGTGGTGGTTCTCGTTTAGATCTTGAGGGACTTCCATCCACTGCCCTATAGCACCTATATTTATTGACATTGTCAAGAGTTTGTAAGAGTCCCCCTTTCTCTGCATTCTCCTCAGCATTTTTAATCTTTTCATTCCATTTCATTTATTACTATTGTGGGTGGGTGGATGCATGTTACAACCTCCTTGTGGTGGTCAGAGGACAACTTTGTGCAGTTGGGTCTCTCCTTCCACCACGTGGATGTTGGAGAAGTCAATCTCCAGATCCTCATGCTTGACAGCAAGCGCCTCTCTCTGCTGAGCCATCTCACCAGGCCAGTCTGTTTTACCACAGCTGTTCTAATCTGGTGAAGGCATTTCTAACGGTGACTTTGCCTTGTATTCTCTTTTCCATAAGGATGCTGTTGGGGCTTTCTCATAGGCTTGTCAGGGGTTATAAAATTCTTCTGGCACATCAAATAATTTGCCCTTTTTGCCAAAGTTTTGTTCTGTTTTTTTTGGGGGGGTGAGGGGGAGTTTTATTTTTTAGTTTCTATGCACTCTGGGTCTTAAAGCCTTGTTGGGTGAACAGTTTATGGTTTATAGTCGTTTCCTCCCCTCAGCGAGTCTCCTCGCTTTGTCAGGTGTCACCTTTGTGTGCCAAAGGTCTTGGTTTAAATCCACTGACCTTGTTGCACGTATGTTTGGGGATCTTATTTTAAAAGTTTTCACCTTCATCACAGTGTCTTGAAATGGCTCCTCTGGTTTTCGGTGTATTCATTGCTACAGGTTATTTCCTTGGGTGTTTGATTGTGGTTCATGGGCCGAGAGATAAGGGCTTCATTCCAGCCTTGCATTTAGGGATGTCCAACGCTGTCTCTTCTCTGTTGTGTTTCCAGTGCCTTCGTTAGAGGTGATTGTGTGCAGGAAATGGTGGCTTCAGTTCTGGGTTCTCTGTTCTATTCCACTGCCTTGACTTTTGGTTTTAGTTATCTCTTTGGAGTATGATTGCTTTGGGATACAGAGAGAGGCCCTGAGAAGTGGCCTTTCCCCAAAGCATATAATTAGCTGAAGTTCTGAGTACCATCTGCTTCTTACAGGGGGCCACTCCAGGAGTTCCATGCAGCTCCTTCGTATCATGGGATGCGTTTGTTGCTTTTAAAAATTAATCATAGTTTATGTGCATGTGGGGGGCAGTGCATATGAGCCCCTGTCCTCATGCCATGGTGCATATGTGAGGTCAGAGGGCACATATGAGTCTTTTCTCTGCCTCTAGCATGTGGGTTCTGGAGATTGGGGAAAAAAAAAAAAACCAACTATGACTTCCTGGTTCTTACTGTCTCCAAAGCCTGCAGTTGGTTTGCCAGTGCATTAGGTCCGCCCATGTGCCTCATAAATTTTGGCTCCTTTAAGTAAGAAAGACAAAACCCTGAGCAATCAGTAACTCTCGGTCACATGGGCAGTAAAGGACAAAATGCAACCCAGTGGCTGGTCACATTCTGAGGGAACAGCAACACTTCTTCAGTGCTGTAAAGGGATCCCCAGAAATGTTTCCTTTCTTTCCTGGGGGGCAAATACTTCACACGCCTGCAGACTTCAGTTTCTTGCTCAGTTCCTCTTATTTCTGCCTCCTTAGTGGTGTGTGATGAAGGAGACTTGAGTTCGGATGTGGCTCGTAAGTGTAGCATTCTCTCGTTTTACCAGAGAAGTAATGTCAGTGTATCGCCGCCCTCAGGAGTCATAGGTGAAGCTGGCCAGGTGCAAAGACTTTGAGTGTGTGGCCATAGTGTTTTGATGTCATTTTCTTACAACTATCACACCTGCGTTTGTTTGGTTGTCGTTGTTTTGTCCAGCTCTATAACTGTATGTTAGCCAGTCTGGTTCATTTTCGTTAGAGAAAAGGGACGGAATGAGATGAGCTATCGCTCTGTCTCTTGTTATCAAAGTTTCCAACAAGATAATCATTCCACTTTCTAAAATATCCAGTAACTTTTGCTAGGTCCCTGGGCACAGGCTGTGATGTCCTGAGAATTTTGCTGTAACATGAATTGTAACCCAGCAAGACTGGCAAGATAGTGGATGACCAGGGTTGTGCGCTCACACCAAGCTTCCAGGTGACTCCCATGATAGTGGCCACCAGCTCCACCTGGGAGCAGAGAGAGCCGCAGGACTGGATTTGAACCAAGCCCTGCCTGGCTGGATTCCACTTCAGTGCTAGACCTCTGGGTGGAGTAGGTGCTGCTGGGAAATCCAGGGGCTTCCTTCCGCAAGGTGCCTTGTCTTGCTGCAGTGGGGACCTGGCGACTCCTGGCTTCCTCATTATTGTATGTGGGCAGCTCTCATCTCCTCACAAGGGTGCCTTTTAAATCCACTCAAGCAGTCTGGTGTTCCTAGGTGAGGCTCTAACGAGGTTCTAATTACTCAGCATTATTCTTCAGCTTGAATTAGGATTCTCGTCTGTCTGGGGATGAAAACACACAGTGTTTACCAGCTGAATCATTCTGTGTAAACAGAAATTAGAAAAAGTGCTCACACAACCAGCTCCTGAAGGGCTTGACAGTTGCTGTGTGCAGCAGAGCGGTGGCTTTTATAAAGAGGAAGAGTGTGGTTATTTTAGGTTTTCTTCTGATTCTGTGCTTTGGGGTCTTCCTGTTGCTTCAGCTTTGGATGGAGCAAAAGGCCTAACGTACTATAAGAACACCACGGGGGCTTCTGTGGGCCAGGCTCTAACCCAAGGATGCTGTCCACACACAGACGCTGGTGTTGGCTTGTTCCTTGGTTGAGTTTGGAATTTTTTCCTTTTAATCTGGACATTTTTGTGTTCTCCAAAGAGAATGTGTATTTTTACATTCATATTTTAAAAAGTAACAAAAGCGATTCCTCCACCAGAAGGGCTTTAGCGTCCATCCTTACCAGATGTGAGGGAGTCTCCGTCAGTGTCTGCACACCACAGCTGCCTTGCTCACCAGAAAACCCCTTTCCCATGGTGCTTCCCGCTGACGGAGAAAGAGTCCTGAGCCTTCTGCTGGCTCATGGGTTCTACCTCTCCAAGCTGGGTGAGAAGCCTGATAATATGGTAGAGTACCAACTATACAGCCCACTGTTAAACAGGCGTTTCTGTGAGTCAGCTTTTCTGCGTTACTAAACCACACAGAACTTATTAGCTTAAACTAACGAGCACCTGCTGCCTCCCTGGGTAGGCTCAGGTGGGTCTAGCTTCTCAGCCAGGGGCCCTGATAGCCTCACTCACCTCTCTGAGGCTTGGTCCACCAAAGATCTCCATCGTAGAGAAGGCCAGCGTGGGTCCACACCCATGGTGAGAGGTAGCAGGACCCCAAAGCATCCAGTGAGGAGCCTGCAGGTCAGGGCTCAGCCTCATTTCTACTGCTCTCCACAGCCAGAGGCAGTGGCCAGGCCGGGTCGGTTTCGTGAGGCACAGATGCCACCTCTGTGTGGAGGGGGTTGCCCCCTAAGCAGTGTAGCCATCTGCAGTACTAACCGTTGCTCGTCTAACAGGCTTCTGAGGACACAGTCTCTGGAATGGTTCTACAGCAACGTGAAGAGCCGCTTCAAGCGTTTTGGCAGCGCCAAGGTCCTGAAGAACCTGTACCGGAAACACCGTCTGGAGAGCGGCGCCTGCTTTGATATCCTAGGTACCCTACTCTCTGCACTCTGGAGGTGTTGGTGGCTGGGAATGAGGGGTGAAGGCTGGGCATGGAGGTCCTGTTCTTGGGGTACACGCTCTTCATAGGGACAGAGAAATTTGTTTAAACGGCAGGTTCTGGAAAGAGGGCAGGTGGCATGGAGTGTCACTTTTTAACTAGGGTTTTGTTTTCAATGTCTCCGTGTGTATATGAACACACACGTGTGTGTGGATGTGAGTGCACATGTGTGCACACGCATGTGAAGGCCAGAGGCGGGCCTCTAGCCTCCTTCCTCAAGAGTTGTCTACCTTGCTTTTTGAGACAGGGAGGATCTTTCCCAGGTCAGGAGCATGTAGGCTAGACTGGCTGGCCAGGGAGCCCCAGAGGCTCACTTGCCTCTTCCCCTCCATGGTTTCCCCCAACCCCTAGAGCTTGGATTAAAGGCACGAACATCTTGATCAGCCTAAAAGGCTAGGAATCGAGCTCAGGGCCTCAGCACTTTCCCAGGTCATCTCCCCAGTGAATGGGCTCTGAACATTCCTGTAGGGGTTTTAATCATGGAGTCTTAGAAGTCATCTGTGTGTGTCCCTGCACCTACACACATGTACGTGAGAGCCCAGAGGAAGACATGGCGTTCTCTCTCTAGCCCTCTCTCGTTCCCTTGACGCAAGGCTTCTAACTGACCTGGCACCAGTCTGGTGGCCAGCAGTACCCACCAGTTCCTCCCAGTTCCATTTCCCACAGCACTGGAGTCACAAGTACACGAGGCTACACCCAGCTTCTTAGACACAGATCCTGAGGATTTGAACTCAGGTCTTCATGCTTGTAAGGCAGTGCTCTGACCACTGAGCCACCTTCCCAGCCTGCTGACAAAACACCAGAAAGTCATTTCCTCATAGAGGTGATGCCAGGTCCCTATCCTGCATTCTTCACACTCTGGGTTCTGTTTACGGGACTCAGAATCCAGCATCCTCGCAAAGTCACAGGAGTGTCGGTGTCCTCCGGGGGAGCCCAAAGGGCACACTTCACCTACATTGTGTTTAGACAGAACAGAGGACAGCCAAGTTACTGGGATGAGAAATTGCACTCCTCGGTCCTCTGAAGACGGCCAGGAGGATGAAGCAGTTGTCAGCTACATAGCTCCATCCTGAAGCTGTGTTTTTCTGCCAGAGTAGCTCTGCTCAGAGCTGCTGACACGGGTAAATGCTTTTTATCCACGAGAATCAGGGAAAGGAAAAGAACCTTCATCTATCTCAATTGCAGCTTTTTGCCGTCATTATTTTACACTGCCGTGTTCTCAATGAAGTCTTTGGCTGTGTCTCATCTAAAACTCTGCCTGCTGCATAAATAACGGGGAGACAGGATGGAGGCATCGAGCTTGGGAGTCATGGGGCCTTTTGTGGTCCCAGTTAGACTCTTTCAAGCTTCTTGGGGAGGTGTGTTTAACCGAGAGAAGCAGCAGCTGTATGAGGTCAAATGCAGTGGCTTACCTCGCTTTTTCTCAGCTTGCATTACTCGGATGCTGCTACAGTGGACTAGGGTGACAGACCATTAATTAGTTCAGGGCAGCTGTTCAACTTTTAGGAAAACTACTGTGGCCTCCATCTAGAGATGAGTGAGATGCCCCTTCATGCAACAGGGTACCGTCCATGTGCCTGTTTTTCTGGTACGGAGAGAGGTCAAGGGCCAAAGAGGTGACATGCTGAGGTGACCCACGGGTACTGTGTAGATGTACAGACCAGCCTCACGTCCCCAGCTGAGGTGACACACGGGTACTGTGCAGGTCTACAGACCATCCTCATGTCCCCAGCTTCACCCCGCGGCTCTGCCTTTCCCCAACACTAGCTCCAAAGAAGGCTTAGTCCAACAGAGGCTGCTGTATCAGAGTACACAAGACTGGGCAACTTAGTAACAGTAGAAACCTCTTGCTGGAAGGTTAAGAGTCTGGCAAAGCTTCTCTGTCTCCCTCCCTCCAGTCTTCCCTCATGTGTTTGTGTGTGTACACGTGCATGCACGCATACACACACTTGTGCAAACAAGCACAGGCACGAGTGTAGTGCCTACAGAGTCCAGAAGAAGGCATCAGGTCCCTCAGTGTTGGAGTAACAGACTGAGCCTCCTGGTGTGGGTGCTGGAAACTGAACTTGTATCCTCTGGAAGAGCAGTAAAGCTTTCTTAATCACTTAGCCATCTCTCCAGCCCCTTGGCAAGAACCTTCTTGCTGTGTCATCCAGGGTGGAAGGGAAAAAGACAGGAAAGAAGGGGGGGTCATTCACAATAAGCCCGCTTCCAAGATAACATTAGCCCACGAATACGGGGACAGGTTCTCCTGATACCGTCATGTTGAAGGTCAGAGATGATTGTGAGCTTGGAAGGAAAATATACTCAAGCCATAGCAGAAGATACTGGAAGGCAGTTGTGGTTAAGCCGCACTGAAAACCATTGTGCAGAGAGAGAGATGTTGGGTCAAAGACCAGATCACGGTAGCATTTAGAGAGCCCATCAAACTCATCACCACGGGCAATGCACCAGCTCTGTGGCTCAAACGCATCCTTGCTCATCAGAGACCTTTCATGGCCATGCTCTTCTCTCCCTTAGGGGCAGGATTGTTTGAGCCGACCCTGGAGAATGAAGGGAGCATTTCAGGAAGCGATTCGACTTTCTACAGGCAGTCAGAAGGTGAGGCTGCTTTACGGACAGCCACTGGGATGTGGGAGGGCTGGAAAGGCAGTGGGGTCTACAGGCAGATGGAAGGTTATGCCTCTTAACTACAGGCGCTGGGACGTGGGAGGGCTGGAGAGGCTGTTGGATTGGGAAGTTGTGATCCTAACCATATTGTAATTGAACAATGAGAGCTCTGGAATTAGAAGATAATAGTCAAGCCAGGAACCAATGCTTCTTGTGTGAAATTATTCCTATAATTTACTAACATCTAAATTTTAGACCAACACCCTCATCAAAAAATTATAGCATGGCATCTAAAGCCTTTCTGGGGCTTGGTAACCATCCCCATCACACAATGCACAGTTGAATGCCTGGTATGTCCACTGTCTTAGAAAATACCTGAGTTCATGCACTCAGCCTGTGGAGCAGGGCGTCACGGGAACCCAGCCTAGAACCTAGAGCAGTGGAGTCACTCGGTCACGCTGGCTGAGAGCCTGCGAGCCTGCTCTTTGAAAGCAGTGGTGAGAGTACATTGGGTACATGTCACAGCGCCATCTAGTGTATTGTCCTATTAGTACATACTGAAAATAAAACCTTACATCAGGACTGGTGAGATGGCTCAGCAGGTAGTGATGCCTACAGCCACGCCTGGTGATCTGAGTTCAACCCTGGGGCCATGAGAAGAAGAAAACTGACTCCCACAAGTTATCCGTTGGTGCCACACACATGCTGTGGCACAGAGAGAGAGACAGACAGACACACAGACACATACACACACACAGAGACACACGACAGACACACAGACACATACACACACACAGAGACAGACAGACACATACACAGAGGACACACACAGGCACACATCCATACTATAATTTTCAATGTAATAATTTTTAATATTTTAAAAATTAGTTGTAGTCCTTTTCCCAGGCTGAATATCCTGGAAAGGCCAGGTGGGAGACAGAGTGCCAACTCCAGGGAGCCCTTCTTGCAGTGACAATGCCCTTCACCAGTTCTCCTCGTGGGTTCTTATTGAGACTTCCAGGGAGTGCACTCAGGCCTCCAGACCACCGTATGCAGTCGGTCTATCTGTGGTGACCGCCAGAGTGGACTTGGAGCACACATCCCCACCTGAGTCCACCTTGACCTTAGCTGGGCTTGTTTCACAGGATTTATTATGCTTTCTAAATGCCTCGTGCTGGCCACGTTGGTGTCTCTAGGGGTCTAGAGAGCTTGGTGAGCCATGAATGAACGAGTAGATAGGATACTTTGTCTCATTTCACAAGTAACTTTCAGCAGCTCACAGAAGACAGGCATGTGCTAACAACACAGGACTGCATTATAAATGGCAACAGGAGAATAAAATTAGAGAGAGAGACACGGGCATCCGTCTCCTTCAGACACACGGTGCTGTGGCTGACGCAGCTTGCCTGAGGCAGTCAGTGGTGTACAGGTCTACCCCAGCTGCTCCAGAGACTGAGGCAGGAAGATTATGAGTTCAAGGCCAATGTGGCTGATGATACAGCAAGACTCTGGAGAGGCGGGTGTGGGGAGAAGAGACTTTCCCAACAAATAGTAGCATGTGTCCTGAATTCCTGCTGGGGCTCAGTTGGTGAAGTTCTTGCCACACAGTGTGAACTCCAGAGCTTAGTCTCCATCACCCACGTAAAAGACTGAGTGCTGTAGTGTGAACTTTCTATCCCAGTTCAGGAGGTGGAGGCAGGAGGATGCTGATCCTCACCCACTAGCTGTTCCAGCTGAATCCCTGAGTGCAGGTCCAGCCAGAGGCCCTAGCTCAAAAAATAGAGGACAGTTCTGGGAGTCAACCTCTGACCTCTTCATGTACACGCATGTATACACGCACACACACATGCACACACACTGTTGTGCTATTTTAAAAGATCATTGTCCTGCCTTCATTTTACTCTGCAAAGGCTTTCTCAGTAGTACTGGATGGCAATAGTAACGTGCTGTCTCCTTGTGTAACCTTGGGCAAATGACCCAGCCAGTGTGAGTGTCACAGGTCCGTCTGTGCCATGTGACCACACGGCATCACACTGAATTGCCACAGTGACTACAGACGTGCAGCTCTCTGACCACACGGCCCCTGACTGGATTACTGTCATGATTAGAGATGTGGAACCCCCAGCTGGACCCCAGCCTGTGCCTCTGCTCAGTCATCAATACTGGTCTATGGCCCCAGGGTTTGCTGTAAGCCATGTTCCTAGCCCAGTGTCTTTGGGGCATTTAACTATTTCTACTCATGTTATCACTATGGTGGAGTGTACCAAACGGGAGTGAGAGTGTATGCTGTCTGGGAGTGTGGACAGAGAGACCTTACTTTCTGACAGCCTCCAGAACCGTCTCGCTCACACAGAAGGATACCAGAAGGCAGAGATGGGAGAGGGAGACAGATGGCGTGGGACGCGGGTGATGGTGGAGGCGGTGGTGAGGTGGATGCCGAGGACAGTGGGCTCATGTTCCATCCTGAGCAGCTCGAGTGTGTCCCGGAACCCCAGGATTGTAAGCAGAAAAGGAACCCATGTGGCACTTGTGACCCGTTCTGTATTCTTTCCCGTCCTAGGACACAGCATGGTGGACACTTTGGCTGTCGCCCTACGGGTGGCAGAAGAAGCCATTGAGGAAGCTATTTCCAAAGCGGAATCCCACGGGGACAGCCTGGTAGGACCTCCTTCCTATGGTGGGGCTGGGACGGGGTAGCATGTGGGACCGCTGTGACAATGACCCCGCGTTCTCCATTCTCTTTCCTCCACAGGACAAGCAGAACGAGGCCAGCTACCTGCGGGACCACAAAGAAGAGCTGACCGAGGAACTGGCCACCACCATCCTGCAGAGGGTAGGGCAATTCAGATGGTCACAGGGTCCAGGCCAGGGGCTGGAGAGCTGGAGGGCAAACTCAGCATGGACTCATTGGCTGATACCATGACCAGAGTTAGAGCAGAAGTCCACTCTGTCTGCTGCCCTCGCCTTCTTCATGTGGGCGTGGCCAGAGCATCAGTCCCTTGGCAGAACTCAGGGCAGAGGCCAGAGAAGGGCGTATTTCCCATGGACAGGAAGACTATACAGATGCCTGAGAAGGGTTGTCAGTAAAGTTCTTGATAAACTTCAGCCTTTGCTCTCAGCCACAGAGACTCAAACCCCATTCACAGGGCAAGGACACCTCCCTCCTGAGGGCACCCAGAGGTGTCGCACAATCCTGGGTCAAGGACAGGGATAGCTCCACCTGCAGCTGGAAACCTGGGAGCTAAGCTAACAGATGGTCCCCCCTGGAGCCTGATGTAGAGCCTTAGAAGGTAGGAGACAGCGTTGGCCAGCTCTGTGGCGGGGGCACGGAAGAGAGTCCGGGCAGCCACTGTCCTCAGCAATCCTGAAAACCAATAGACAAATGCAGCTGATTTCACCCTAGAAATGGGAGGAGTGCCTTGATTGGGCCACCTCTCTGCCTCAGCAGGCACCTTCATTCATGACTGCCCTTCTCATGACTCGGTCATCGGAAAGTCCACTGAGGGCTGGGAGACCACTCACTTCAGTAAAATGCTCACCGCACACCCTGAGTGGCTTGTGCATTTCATCCCAGGATAATGTGGCTCCCTGGGGTTCACTGGGCAGCCAGCCTAGCCAAGTAGGCAAAATGCAGGTTTAATATGAGACCCTGTTTGAAAATAAAGAAAGGACAGAGACCGAGGAGACCTCTGCACGTGTGTGCACACACAAACATGTGAGCAGATACCCACTGAAGAATTCCACCTTGGTGCTTCAGGTTGGCCACGTTCTCAGCTGCCCCATCTGTAGACATTAGGGCCCAGAGGAATCTATACCCATGGGCCCACTAAATGCACATGGCTGTGCCAGCACAGCTGAGGGCAAAAAAGGGACCTGGGTGTCTGCCTCTCCTTGAGCCTTCCAGATGCTTCCTCCAGTCAAGACCCTCAGCCAAATCAAGACCCGCAGCCAAAGGCACCAGGCCTGTGTGCTGTGCAGCTTTAGCTGACACATGATTCTCGCTGGTCCTGCATTCTCTCCTATCAAATACGGAGAAGGGCAGTGTGCATCTCCCAGAATTCCTCTGTAGTCCCCAGCACAGAGTCTAGCGTGGAGTGAGAGTCACTTACATAGAGAACCCGGGAACATCAGAAAAATACCACAATTAGCCATCCACAACCCTGTTGAAATAAGAGCGGCGGGGCTGCGTCCCCAACACCCCGGCCACTTGGCTAGCTCATGCCCAAAATAACAACACACAAACTGTATTCATTTAAGAACTGCTTGGCCCATGAACTCTAACCCTTACAGGCTAATTCTCGCACCTGGACTAGCCCATTTCTAATGATGTTTGTAAGCACCCCAAGGTGCGCTTACCGGGAAGATTCTAGCCTCCATCCATCGTTGCGTCTACCCAGGAGAGCTGAGCATGGCGTCTCTCTGGGAGCAGAGCAGAGTCTGACCTCACTTCCTCTTCCGCCCAGAATTCTATTCTGTTTACTCCTCCCATCTATGTTCTAAGCTGAGGCCAAGCAGTTGGTTTATTATAACTTAACCAATGAAATCAACAGATTGATATATGACACTCCCACATCACAACCCCAGGCTCCTTATCTACAGGTCCAGTCAACCAAGGATCCAAAATAAGTAGGGAAAGGAATTCCAGAAGGTTCCAAAAAGGACATCTTGAACTTGCTGGACCAAGCAGTAGGCTGAGTCCACATGGATAAGAAAGCATGCTAGCTTAACCACTGATCTTCCGCCACCTCCCGAAGCCTCAGTCCTTCCCTACTCCTGCCCTTTGAGCATTGCCTGCCTGGTACCACGCAGTTACACCCATGACGACTACATCTGCACTAATATGTAGGCTTTTCTCTCATTATTGTTCCCAAAACAGTGGGCCCAGCAACTATCTTAATAACACATCTATCAGGCTGTAAGTGATTGGAAGATGTCCTGATGGATACGGGAGATGCATGGTTTCTCTAAGCAAACACTACACCATGTTATGTCCTCAAGCTCCAGCGCTCTTGATTTTTGATATATGGTCTCTCACTGGGACCTGGGACCCACAGATTAGGCGAGGTCAGCTGACCAGTGAGCCTCAGACATCTTCCTGTCTCTGCCTCCCTGGTGCTAGAATGACACCTGTGAGCCACCCAGCAGCTCCTCACGAGGGTTCTGGGGGGCAAACTTGGATCTCAGTGTTGGCACGACGGGCACTTTCCCCAGTCCCATCGGTGATGTGAGGAGTCTGCTGTGAGGGAGGCTGATTCCCCTGCCCTTGTCAGCCACAGGGGCTTTAGGTCATGGAGGCTGTATGTGCCCTGTCAACACAAGGGGATCTGAAGCAAGCTGTTGGAGCTAAGTTCCTGGGTGTCTGGGAAAGCATCCCAAAGATAACCCCCATCGTGGTACTTAGCCTCAGAAGCCTCCTCAGGGACTGGGAAAGCATCCCGAAGATGACCCCGTCGTGGTACTTAGCCTCCTGAAGCCTCCTCAGTGACATGTCCCTGTTTCCCCAGATTATAAGAAAGCAGAAGAGCAAAGCGGAGCCGCAAGCAGAGGAAGAGGGACCGGAGTGGCCACGGCGCCAGAGTGGCAGTGTGAAGGCCGAGGATGAGGAGACCACGGCCCCTCCAGGACGACAGCGAGCACGTGCCACCCTCTGGGTGAGTCGGCACAGCGCTGCTGCCCCCCACACTCTCTGCATGCCTGTGTGTGGATTAGAGCCATTCTCCCACGGGAAAGGGTGAGGCACATTTTGCCATCTGGAGTTGAGAGTGCTTCCCAGGTCCCAGAGGAGAGCACGGAGTGTGGAGGGGGAACATGTGGGGTACAGGGGAAAGCAAGAAGCTAAGGTAAAGAGCAGGTTGCTGGGGAGTTTTTACGTGGAGACCATCTTAGGGAAGATAAAGATGTTCGTGGGCTGCACATGTGTGCGCACCTGTGTGCAGGTGTGCATGTGGAGGGCCGAGGTCAACTTCAGATGTCCTTCCTCCAGCTTGGTCCACCTTGGTCTTTTGAGATGGGGTCTGCCTCTGGTCTGGAATTCACCAGTTCAGACAAGTCAGGTGCCAGCCCCAGGGACCCTTCTGTCTTCAAATTCCCAATGCTGGGATTATGTGTGCCTGTCTGTGTCCAGCTTTTAAATGTGGGTGCTGGGAATTGAACTCAGGTCTTCGTACCTGCGAGGCAAGCCATCTTCCCCAGCTCATGGAGGACCTACTTGCTCACACCAGTGCAGGACTGAGGCCCTTACATTGAGGAAAATAGAGCCTTTGAATAGTTAAAAAGCCCCCCGAGGTCCCAGGTGCAGGAGGAGATGACTGACCACTTCTTAGCTGCCGCCCCAGAGTAAAGAGGCCATGCCTGACGGCTCAAATCTCTCCATCTTCCGTGTCACTAACGTGAACATTCATGAGCCGGGGGCCCAGCACCTCCCCGGGCCCTGCCAGCTCTCTCCAAGCTGGCTTCCCCCACAGACCCTTGTGTGGGTAAGAAGGGAAGAAAAGCAGAGACCAGGGGCGGCGGGAGTGAGTCAGAATAAAGAGAAAGCCAACTGCTCAAGTCATACCGGCACTTCCTGGTAAACATGCAAGCGCTGTGGTGCCACCTGCTGGAACAGGTTTTCATTGTGGTGATTCTGAGGCCTCTAACTTCCTGCAAAGGATTTGGCAAAATGAGATAACTCCTTGACCACCCTGCCCTATATTGTTGAGGAATCTGGTGACAAGAATGCACCTCCTGCGTCCTGGGGATGAAGTGTGGCTGCATGCCCTGTGACGCATGTCTGCTTAACTCCCCTATGAGTAGGACCTTGCTGCACAGGATGGACGTGTGCTGAAATAAAAGGTGTACACCACCTCAGTTGGCCATACCTGGTTTTCAGCGTGGGTTCTGGGGGTTTAACGTGGGTTTTCATGCTTACAAACACTTCTCTGGCTGAGCCATCTCCCCAGCCCTTGGACAGTTTCGAAGCTGTCACTTACCCTGAAGTGCACAGTGAGCTTAGAGGAAAAGGGAGTTTCCAGATTGTTGGCCAAGGCCGTGGCAGAAATGTCTCCTGTGTTCCTCCCAGATCCTGCCACGCCCTGCTTGTGTATCTCCGAGAGAGCACACCATGTCTCCTTTGCTCTCCCCTCTGCTGGAAGAGGCAAAAAGAGCATTTGTCACTGGGATAGGAGGGTGTGGGGGTGTCAACCAGCCGGGAGACGGTGTGCTCAAGGGTCCCAAGGTCCCTGTCTTCATGGATGCTTTCAGTGGTTATGTGAAGTGTCCTTTCCCTCCTCAGCCTACTGTGTTCAAAGCAAACATCAGTGCTGATCTGCGGCTCCTGGCCTGGCTGAGGAAGACAGCCTCACCGTGCAGTGTCCTCTGCTCGCTGGACCATGGTCACTGCTGAGCTAGAGGCCTCGTCCGGGGGCTGTGCTGAAAGCTCACACATCTCTCTTTCCACAGCGGTCTCAGTCTGCATACTCCTTCACTACAGAAGACGCTCTGAAGACCTGTTCAGCAGAGGCTGCACCAAGGCAGGCCAGGGACCGTGGCCAGCGTCTGCTGGAGGAGTCAGCTTTGCCCAGCTGGAAGAGCATGGACGGGCTGGATGGAACAAGTAATGGTTTATTGTTGTTGTCGTTGTTGTTGCTGCTTGTGTTTTCTTTTGATGAGATAAGACCTTGTAGCACCCAGGCTGGCCCCCACCTCCCTACAAAGCCAAAGATGACCTTGAACACCTGACCACCGCTCAAAGCTGAGATTACAGGTGTGTGCCAAGGCTCCCTGGCTCCAAGTGGGTTTCACAAGTGCCGTTTGCAGACTTGCCAGCTATCACGTGGCCTTTTGCCGAGTGCGCGCGTGCGTGCGTGCGTGCGTGTGTGTGTGTGCATGTGTGTGCATGTGTGGGTGTGTCATGTGTGGTGTGTGTGTGCATGCGCACACCCGTGTGTGTGTGTGTGTGTGTGTGTGTGGCCGTGAAAGGGTCCTTGCGAGGCAGTTATCTTGTCTATCCTAAGGGATGGCACTCTGGTCTGCTTGTGTCTATGCTCTTCCTGCTTGCTTCTAGAATGTTCTGCCTCTTCCTTAGGGGCTGGAACATCTGTAACGCATGGCCCTTCATAAAGCTGTTGGGTCTTACCTAGACTCGGTTACTTTCCTAAACTCTCACACAATGGTCGTGGCCATGTAAATAGAAGCCGGGGCCACGGAGCCCCACACTTGAGGGTCTTGTTCCCTCCAGCACAGGTCTATTCCTCACCAGGTGAATACATGCATGCAGCAGAAGGCAGACCCACATGTTGTCCTGTGGACCAACTGTTAGTGGTGTTCTCAACCTGTCTTGTAGCTCGGACTCAGATCCCTTCCCTGAATAGCAAAAATGCATAACAGAAAGCTGGCTACCCTAGAAATAAACTTCTAAAGACTGGCTGTCGTTTCCCCTCTATAAATAACCAACAGCCTACCTATGAGCAAAATCAGCCCAGTGCAGAGACTCAGAAATGCTTAATATCTGTTCATCTGAAGATTTCCCAGGAGACATCCCGTCCCTGTGAATCCTCCAGTGCCTGGTATGTAGCTGATGGGTGGAGTCGCTGGTGGGTGGAGTAGCTGATGGGTGGAGTGGCTGATGTATAGAGCAGCTGATGGGTGGAGTAGCTGATGGGTAGAGCAGCTGGGGGTGGAGTGGCTGATATGTGGAGTAGCTGATGGGTGGAGCAGCTGAGGAGTGAAACAGCTGATAGGTGGAGCAGCTGATAGGTGGAGTAGCTGATGAGTGGAGCAGCTGAGGGGTGAAGCAGCTGATGGGTGGAGCAGCTGATGCATGGAAACTGTGCAGCTGCAACACTCAGATGACAGCCCAGCGCTTTATCTGTGTGGTTTTATGGTTTTGGTTTTTAAATGCTTTTCATTCCTAGACACACCATTCAGATACCCAGCATGCTTGTGTCCTCTGCTTCTCACCCCTTTCCTCTCTCTCCCCTGCCTCTTCCTTTTTCCTGTCTCTTCTTTCTCCTTTCTTTCCTCATTCTGCCCCCTTCTCTCCCTCTGCTCTCTGTCCCCAGAGCCATCAACAGGTTGACACTAATCCTGTCATATATTGTGTATTGGAGGACAAGTACCACATTTCTGTCTGTCCGGACCTGGGCAGTGGGACGTTGTGGGGGAAGGCTCCTCCTCTGCTGTCCTGTCTTGGGCTAGGGGAAGCGGTAGAGTTCATGTCGAGACCCCGCCCTGAACTCACACTTGGCTTAGCTTTCCCACCCTCTTGGGCACGCTCTTCCTGGGTTCTACTGGACTTTGCATCTTCTGAGTGACTGTGGCTTCTACCAGAGGCGGAGTCTAATGTGGGCACCTAGGGGCTTATGATTCATCTGGGACTCGAGCCCAGAAAATGCACAAGGACAGACGGACATGAGATGGGAAAGGAAAGGCAAGCAGTGGATGTCTTATGGTCCATGTGCTTATCACAGGGGTAGCTGGAGCTGTGGAGCTACCCCCTGCCGATCAGGCAAGGGAGGTGGACGCTTAGCCCACCAGCACCCCAGTTATGAGTGGAGGCACGCTCCCAGCAAGGGGCAGTTCCCAAGCCTTCCAGCCCTGGCCTAGGGCACAAAACACGGATCTTGAACTTAGGTTATGGTTCAGCTGAAAAATTAGAAGTGCTGGCAGCCAGAGGTTCAAAGAGTACAACTGTGGGTGTACATCACAGGATCTGTGATGGGGAAGTCAGCCTTGCCCCTTTCCTGGCTCTGAGGAGCTTTGTGTAGTGTCTGAGCACCCTGGCTCCCCTGGCCACTCAGCCTGCACTCAGAGCTCTGGCTGAGACCCCTTTGTGTCACAGAGGGGCACATGCAACACTGAATAACACACATCTGCTTTCTGTGTGCATGACTGTGGAGTGGGTGCATGTGGTCCATGACCCAGGCTTAGAATCCACTTAGTTGTTGAAATAGGAGAGGCGGGGCTGCTTCCCCGGCACCCGGCCACCCGCATGGCTAGCTTATGCCCGAAATAATTACACGGAAACTGTATTCTATTAAACACTGCCTGGCCCGGCTAGTTCCAGCTTCTTATTGGCTAGCTCTTACATATTGTTCTAACCCATTTCTAATATTCTGTGTAGCCCATGAGCTGGCTTACCAGAGAGGATCTTAACCTGCGTCTGTCTGGAGTGGGAGAACCATGGCGACTCCTTCACTAAGCTTCTTTCTCCCAGAATTCTCCTCTGTCTACTCCGCCTACCTAATTTTCTGTCCTATGAGGGCCGAGGCAGTTTCTTTATTATAATTAACCAATGTCCTTCCTCCATCACTTAGTAATCCAACTCAGTAGACAGATGAGAGAAGCAGAGTGCTTGGTGCATCCAGCACTGTGTTCCGTGGGCTTCACAGTCCATGTCATGATGTCCCACAGATGGCAATTCTGGGTCCCTCTAACCCCACTGACAGGTCAGGAAACAGGCTGAGGCACTCTCTGAGATGTAACTTTCTGGTAGTAACCTTGTATCCAGGGTTCAGCCTAAACCCTTGGTTCTTTTGAAATTCTCTTTTCTAACATTATTTATTTCTTATTTTTGGTGTTTTGTGCATATATGTGCCCATGCATGGAGTACCCATGGAGACCAGGAGAGGGCATCAGATCCCCTGGAACTGGAATGACAAGCTATTGTGATTCTGTGTTAGCCACATGGCTTGGTACCTTTTTCAGCGAGGCAGTCACATCTTGCTTGCTCTCTGTCTGGGAGTGGAGAGAGGATGCGAGGGGAGAGCTGCTTCTGCTGCTGTGCTTTCATTCCTGCCTCTGAGGCAAGAAATACCAGTCGACTCAGCCTCGAAGGCCTCTCCAAAACCCTGGTTAATAAATCATAGGCTTCGTGCCCATCTAGCGAGGCTGCCAATGACATCTGTGAAAGTCCTTGGGGCAGACCAGGAGGTAGAATTATCCCTTATCAGTGAGGGGAAACTGAGGACTTAAGGGAGAAACCCATGGCCAGTGTTGGAGAACAAGAACTTAGGCAGGCAGCTACAGCTCTCTCCATCTCTTCTGTCGCCTCAGACCAGGGCAGGGCGGCACTCAGGAGGACTGAAAAGGGACCGTGACCACAAGTCTCACTCCATCTGTGAGGCCCCCGAGGGTCCCTGAGAACTCTTTTTGTTTTAATAGTAGTTTCACTCTTTAAAATCTTTCGAGGCCAGCCTGGTCTACAAGAGCTAGTTCCGGGACGGGCACCAAAGCTACAGAGAAACCCTGTCTCGAAAAACCAAAAAAAAAAAAAAAATTTATATATGCATACAGTATATTTTGATTATATACACCTCCAGGACCTCCTCCCAGCTATCTCCAGGACCCCTCAACCCATTTTCTTCCAATTTCATGTCATATTATCGTCCTGAGTTCAACTGGTCCTGGGGCATCAGCAACCTACTAGGGTCCACATCTCCAAAGACAGGCAACTCTGCCTCCCTCTGCAGCCATCGGCTGCCCATAACTCCTCCCCCACCCATATGGACCTAGGACTGGCTCGATACCGTGCAGGTCTCATGCAGGTCACCACGGCTGTGAGTCAGTGTTCCACAGCTCTCCTCCCCATCCTTCATCTCAAAGTCTTTTTTTCTCCCCGTCCATGTTGTTCCCTGAGCCTTGGATGGGAGAAGTTGATATCAATGATAGCAACCCATCTATGGCTGAGCACTCAGCCTCCTGTGAGCTGGGTGCGCCCTCCTGCTCTTCCTAAAGGTGGTTGCTCTGCAAACTCACAGGGAGCCGGTCATGGGAGATGACGTGCTGCCCAGATTGCTCCGTCAGTGATAATGGACCCTCTCTGGTTTCTCTCTCCTTTCTCCCGCACAGATCTGGCCCCAGTTTTGCAGAGCCCTGATGGAAACTGGATGGCCTTGAAGGATGATGGTACACGGCCTCCAAGCCGCCTGCTGGCCAAACCCAAGAGTGGTACCTTTCAGGCCCTGGAGGTGGCGTCCAGTGTGACATCGGCCTATGATGAGTTAGGTTCCGACAGTGAGGAAGACTTTGACTACAGTGAGGCCTTGAGTAAGCTGTGCCCGCTGTCCCAGGGCAGAGCCAAGCAACCCCAGCCTCAGCCTACACAGTGTTCTGGCCAAGGTCCCTCAGCCACCTCTCCCTCAAACCCTGAGGCCATGGGCTCCGATTCAGAGACTTCCTCCACCAGCTCGTCTCGGGAAGCTGGACGCCGGGCCAGGCTGACTTGGCTGCAGAGGAAGGCCCCCAAGAACCCCGCGGCAGAGAAGATGCGTCTCCAGGGAGAGCTGGATGTGAATTTCAACCCCCAGACAGTCTGCGGAGAGACTTCTGACAGTAGCGATTCAGAAGAGACCCTCCACACTGCAGACCGCAGGGCCAGGAGGTGGAGAAGGGCCCGAGTGGGCCCAGAGGAGCCAAACAGGGGGCTGTCTTTGCCTGGTTCCCATCCACAGGGTCTGCACACACATCAGGTAAGGAAATTTCACCTGCCAGCACGCACACACTTTGAAGTAGGATGGCCATTCTTCATATGTGGTGGTCTGGGGAGCCTGGTTTGGGATTTACTGTCTAAGATTCTATTGACTTTGCTACCGAGCAGTCAAGGTCCGAGCCAGGTCACATCAACCCTCTGTGGCTTTGTCTTTGCCTTAGATCTTTCTAGTCACTATGAACAAACACCTGGCAGAACACATCCTGAGAGAGTTTTCGTTTGGGCTCACGGTTCTAGAGGCTTCTGTCACGGGTGCTGTGTCTCCTGGGCTTGAGCAGACCATGTTGACGGCAAGGGCAGATGGTAGAGGGGCTTCTTCGGTTCATAGTAGACAGGAAGAAGAGAAAGCGAGCATGAGAGAGGACCAGGGCAAGGCTAGGGAGATGGCTCAGCTGTTAAAGGGCCTGCTGTGTAAGCTTGAAGACCCGAGTTCGACCCCCACCCACGTAAAAAGCCAAGCATGGCTGCACACTGGTCATCCCAGTGCCGGGGAGACAGAGACAGGAGAAGCCGAGTGGTCACCAACTGGCCAACCTAGCCTATGTGGTGAGCCCCTGTCAGTGAGGAACCCTGTCTCAAAAACAAGGTGGATTGTTCCTGAGGAATGATGTCTGAGGTTAATCTCTGGCCACTACATGTTCATACACACACGCACTTCACACACATGAACATAAACACATACACACACAAACTAGTTAATTATTACATTTTAAAAACTAAGGGAAAAGGCAAGGCAAAATACATACCTAAGGAGCATTCCTAATTGTTGCATTCAAAATGGGGCTCCAGGGGCTTCCGATTTACCACAAAGTGGCTGCAAACTCATGCCCAAGCTTCCACCTGTGCAAGGCATCTGTCTTCGTTTGGGTTTCCATTGCTGTGATGAAACACCATGACCAGAAGCAACTTGGGGAGGGGCAGTCTCAGCTTGCAACTCTGAGGTCACATGGGGAAAGTCAGGACAAGAAGTCAACTGGAACAAACAGGAGATTGTGGCGGGATGCTGCTTACTGCCTTGCTCCTCATGGCCCACTCACACTGCTTTCTTACACGACCCAGGACCACTGGCCCAGGAGTGACGCAGTGCACTGGGCCCTCACTCATCGGTCATCAATCAAAAAAAAAAATGCGCCATAGCCTTGCCCACAGGCCAATCTAGGGAGACGTTTTCTCAACCGAAATCCCCTCTTCCCAGCTGACTATAGCCTGTGTCAGGTTGACAAGATAGAACCAAGCGGGACAGCACCAGGCAGGGAGAAGGTGAGAAGGGGCAAGCACACTTCAGGTCCATCCTCCCCTAGGAGGGACCTTGAGCAAATAGCAGTACCTTCTCATTCCCACTAGGTGGGGCTGCTGCTACGCAGCCAGAGGTCCAAACCTTTGGTTTCTTTTCATAAGGCAGTTGTCAATCCACCCCAAGTCAGGAAGGAAATAAAATAAAAATTACACATTTAAACTGTTACTTTAGACGTATATAAATAAATAAAAGACAAAGCAAATGGGCGTACTATAATGTACAAATATTAAAGCCTACTTATGGCATTTCCTGCCAGGCATGGTGGCACATACCCATAATCCTGTAGATGGAAGTTTCTGTCCCGCCTGGTCCTGCAGCTGTTTAGTTCCAAAGAAACACATAGAGGCTTATATTAGTTATAAAATGTTTGACTTATTAGCTTAATCTTATTATGAACTAGCTCTTACAACTTAAATTAATCCATAATTCTTATCTATGTGTAGCCCTGTGGCTTGGTACCTTTTTTCAGTGCAGCATTCTCATCTTGCTTCCTCTGTATCTGGGTGGCGACTGCAGACTGAGGCTTTCCTCTTCCCAGAATTCTCCTAGCCTGGTTGCCCCACCTATACTTCCTGCCTGGCTACTGGCCAATCAGCATTTTATTGAACCAATACGAGTGACAAATCTTTACAGTGTACAAGAGCATCATCCCACAGCATAATCCCAGTGCTCCAAAGGCTATGGCAAGAGGATCATATATTAGGGACTAGCCTGCACTACATATTGAGTACCAGTCTAGCCTTTATTTTAAAATAAAAATAAAATCCAATTCAGTGTTAGATCCCGAAAATGACCATAGGTGTATTTTGTGTGAGGTCATTTTTTTAGGGTGTCTATACCTGTGATGAAACACTCTGAACACGGAGAGGAACGGGTTAATTTACCCAGTGATTCCACGTCATCAAAGGAAGTCAGGGTAGGAATTCCTCCAGGCCGGAACCTGGAGGCAGGAGCTGATGCAGAGACCATGGAGGGTGCTGCTTCCCACAGCTTGCTCAGTCTGCTTCCGTATAGAACCCAGGACCACCAGCCCAGAGATGGCACCGCCTACAATGGTCCGGGACCTCTTAACTTCAATCACTGATTAAGAAAACACTTTGCAGCCCAATCTTGTGGAGGAATTTTCTTAATCCAGGTTCCCCCCTCTCAGACGACTTTAGCTTGTGTCAGGTTGACATATGACTTTCCAGTATAGCCATCTTTGTTTGTTCATGTGCGTACAGGACACTTAAAGCTGTAGCCCAGCAAGTCTGTCTGTGTTTGTGTCATGCTGCCCACCTTCTTCCTCGAGGTTAATCCCCAACCATGAGTGGCACCAAGGGGGTTGGCACACAACAATCTGGGCACTCTAAGTGCCAAAGATTTCAGAGAGCTAGTGTTTCCAGGACAGGGGATCAG